ATCTGAAGGGTGCCTATTTACCCATACAAGATCGGTGGAATTGGTTCCAGGAAAGCTACTCTGCTTTATCACAAACGGTGGCTAGAATCTCAGGGAACTTAGCGTCCGATAGGAAACAGAGGAAACAAGCGTTGGAGACTGCCTTGAAGATTGCAGAGACTAATCTTATTGATAATCCCTCATCTGTACTTTACACGTACATTTTTGAAAAAGCGAGAGAGGAACTTACCATGTGGAGATGGTGGGAACTAAAGGGACTTCAAATAAGAGCCAGAATGACCGAATATGAGCTAAGTGAGTCCATGTCGAAACACTTCTTCGCAAGAATCAAAGCAAACTCCAGAGCTAACGCGATAGAAGGGTTGAATACTCTCTCAAATCCAGCTGAAACCGTCACAGATAGCGAAGGGATGTTGAACATAGTTAAGGAATTCTACGAAGAGCTCTATCACACTAAGACCCCTATGCCTACTCCGCCAAGCACCAGAGAAGCTCGAACTAGGATGCTGCAATACCTGGAACGGACGATATCTCAAGAACAAGCAGAAGCCCTGGATAAGCCCATCACCATTGAGGAATTGCATTTTGCAGTCCAAAATATGAATAATAACAAGTCCCCAGGAATCGACGGCCTGACAAAAAAGGGGAAAGAGAAGACAGTAGGAATTATAGACCCATCTCGCTCCTAACGCTTCCCTACAAGGTCTTAGCCAAAACTCTAGCTTTTCGAATCCTGGATCTGACGGACAAATGCTTCCCTATAGATCAAACAGGCTTTATCCCTGGGAGATACATTCTAGACAACGTACTAACCCTCAGCGAAGCGGCCAATAAAGTCAGAGAAAAAAGGATAAGCGCAGCAATTCTTTTCTTTGATTTTGAAAAGGCTTATGACCAGGTCTACTGGGCCTTTCTCAATGCAAGCATGGAAAAGATGGGAGTGGGCCCGAATTTTAGAAAGTGGGTGCGAATCCTATATAATGATGCCATAGGGTGTGTTCAAGTCAATGGTCTGCTTTYGGACTGCTATCCAATATCTCGGTCAGTTCGACAAGGGGACCCACKAGCTSCCCCAATCTTCCTCTTCGKGATGGAAGCAATTGCVTCATTYCTACGCAAAGACCCATCCATTCACAGACTACCAGAGGTTAATGTAGGCACAGCCCACCACCTAAAGTTCCCGACAGTAATAATGTTCGCTGACGACCTCACGGTCCTCATAAGAGCTTCAGACTCGTCGTTCGGTGCGCTAGTAAGAGCAATGGAGGCATTTAGACTGGCATCAGAAATGAAGATTAATTGGAAAAAGACAATTGGATGGTGGCTATCGGAGGAAGACGCTCCCCAACTTCAAGGCCCGGAGGCAGAAATGACATGGGAGTCACCACAGACTCCTACGAGGTATTTAGGCATCTTGTTGACGAAGGACGGCTTTGCCCCTAAGATGGCTCAAAATGTACTAGTAAAACAAATTAACAAACTGGGTAGGTGGGGCAACACATTCACATCATTGCTGGGTCGGGCACTAGCAATCAACACATCGATTTTCTAAATGATGTGGTATATTGCATCAATTTGGACTGTTCCAGATCATTCAATCAAGGAACTTAACCGTAAAGCCAGGGCCTACTTGTGGTCGGGCGACCCCAACAAAGAGAACTGCATACCAAAGATAGCTTGGCACTACATCACAAGGAAACCAGCCAAAGGAGGCCTAGGTATCATAGACCCCAAACAGGAAACCAAAGCCTTACAAGTTAAATGGGTGATCAAACTACTGACAAAACCAGTCACGGCGTGGAATAAACTGGCTTTGGATAGCATCAGGGGCCTAGCACCTATATCCACGCCAGCAAACATGTCCGGTCTGTTCTGGGTAATGTCCAAAGATTGGATTCTGAATACAGGACGCAGAAATCAACGAAGAGGAACTGACCCAAACGTAGCCAGGCCTCCTGTACCCTATTGGACTGCACTGCTACGGACATGGCGGGAAGTCATGCCGAAAAAGGTGGGTAAACCCAAATTCAAAGACGAGGTTCTGAGGCAACCTCTGTTTAGTAATCCGTGGGTTAGAGACGAAGGTGACCACCAATTATCCCTTAACCCTAGAGGAAGGAGATGGTTATCTTGGATCAAACATGGTGTATGGAAAGTGAGCCATCTGTGGAATGACAATAGAAAGGACTGGGTGACAGAACAGGAACTTGCCTCCCAGCTGAAAGGCTGTCACCGGCGAGACGAGAATCTACAATCTATTATCAACAGCTTCCCAGAAGGTTGGAAGGATCTGTTGACTGAAGTCTCAACCTGGAAATCGGGCGAATGGGGAGTGAGGATACAGGAGTTAACTCCGTCTAGGGCCTATCAATTCTCCCATAAACAGCAAGGATCGGATACCCTGGCGGTGTTCACTTCTTTCCCAATTACCTCCTCGACGCAAGGCCTTCAATCAATCCTGAATCAAGAGGTAGAAAGAACAGTCCTGAACCCCTTTGTACTCAGAAAAGTAAGAGTGCTGGGATCATGGCCAAAAACAATATTTAGAGCAGATACGGCAATTCAAGATTTGGAATTTGACCCAGCAGAGTGGGCTTGGATACCTGACAGAACCAGAAGTCCCAAAACGTATATCCCCATTCAGGAATACACTGCTAAACTGGGGTACAATCTACTCCTCAAAACAAAAGACCCGGATCCGACGATCAAGAACAGATGGCAGAAGTTAATAGGCCAAGATGCCAGTCAGATCTCACAAATACCATGGAAAAAAATTCAAGACAATTCGTCCAGTCAAAATTAGGAGCCTCCAATGGCTCATCACATATGTAGCTCTGCCAGTTAATCAGTGGTTACATATCAGAAGAAAGAAGAACGACCCTAACAGCTCAGAGCTATGCACGGTCTGTTCACAAAATGAACCTGAAGATATATTACATTGTCTGATACGCTGTAGAGAGGCGACCGAATACTGGGCGAGAGCCTCGGAGCTATGGGACTCCCTCTTCCAGATTCCCCTCCCCGAACATCCTGTCCAACTCCTTCTAAGGACTAACATCCCTGCCCAATTTCATAAGTCAGAGAAAATATGGTTTGGAATGATCCGAAAGACGACGCTGTGGTCCATCTGGAAGGAAAGGTGCTGCAGAACTATTGAGGGACTCTCGACTCCAAGGGAGAAGGTATGGGCGGAGACAAATACCCTGATCCAGGCTGAGATTCTTTGCAAATGGCATAAGACAAGACAATCTATGCCGGATGACGTAGAGCAACAGGAAAAAATCAAGGCAAACTTTACTAAGGTGTGGCTTGCAAGGGGCAAAGTGGCGGAGATAATCGACTCTCGCATAAGGTGGAAGGACTGGCACAATTCAGAAACAGGGAGGAGGAAGCAGAGTTCTCAGTCAGCAGAAAGACCAGCTCTATCACAGGACACATAATGAGTGGAGCCTGGAATCAGATACTGTAGCTTTCATGGCGTCCTGTTCTTTCTTGTTTTTATTGTGTATACGACAGGCTTAAGCAGTAGACCTGAGAGGAAAGAACAAGGAAAGGCAAGCTGACAGTCAATCCTTCACGCAGGTGGAGTAATCAATGCTGTTCAGGGTTCCTTCGGCCGGACGGAAGGAAGCGTGAGTGGGTTCATGGTGTAATATTTTTCTGACTTGCCGGTGGAATAGGAACCGGACTGATGCTCCCCAGAATGGAAATGGAGCCGGGGCCATAAGGACCTGATTATTATTAAAATAAATAAATAAATAAATAAATAAATAAATAAATAAATAATAAAAAATAAAAAAAAAATAAAAAATTTTACCGACAGTCATTGTTCGTCTCTCTTTCACATAACACCAGATACCTCCAGCTCATTATAGGTGAACCCCATCAAAAGGCCCACTTCCTCAGCGGGATCAACCACTTGTGTGTTTTCGCCATTCTTCATGTGGTTGTCTCCACGTCGTCTTCGTTTTCATGATGGTCAGCCTGTTCTCTCCGAGCAAAGGAGTGTCATGCTATTCTTCCCAAAATGCGTCTCTCTCTCTCTCTCTCTCTCTCTCTCTCTCTCTCTCTCTCTCTCTCTCTCTCTCTCTCTCTCTCTCTCTCTCTCTCTCTNCTCTCTCTCTCTCTCTCTCTCTCTCTCTCTCTCTCTCTCTCTCTCTCTCTCTCTCTCTCTCTCTCTCTCTCTCTCTCTCTCTCTCTCCCCTTTTTCGTCACGTTTGAGAAAGAACAGCCTTATTCTCTGTTTATTCTACGCACAGCCAAAATATTTTTGTTTTGCAATGCTGCATGAGGTATCTTTTTTTCAGTTTTTTTTTTTTTTTTTTTAAGTCGGACTTTTGGGGCGGATCCGGACACTCTGGACTGGACACCAGGCCTGGATATCCAGACCCAGACCGTCTGCGCTGCGTTCCGGACGTCCGGATCGTAACCATGGTTATGATATAACTTCAGTTTTTTTTTTTCCCCGGATACCATAGCAAATTTTGTGGTCACCTTCAGGCAAAAGATTAAAAGAGAAAAAAGGGAAAAAAAATTTGGTCTGCAATTCTGCATGACATATTTCTTTTTCCAGTTTTTTTTTTTGTTTTGTTTTTTTGTTGCTTTGGGACTCCCCGGGACCTTGACCGGGACTTTGCCCGGACCTGGCCCGGCCTGCCTACCCTGACCAATCTGAGCCATCCCGGGCCGCCCAAGTAGTAACCCAGATTATTAGTGAATAAATAATTAAAATGAGGGGCAAGTAGTACGCTGCGAGCTTGTAATGGGGGGGGGGGGGGGGGGAGGGCATAAAAAAATCACAAAACTTGAAAAAAAGTAATTAAAAAAAAAGGTCTCTTATTTATGAGAAGAACAGAAAAACGCGGAGAAAAGGTGTCGGTTCTGATTGGCAGTAGTTGTTGTTGTTGTTGTTGTTGTTGTTGTTTTTTGTTTTTTGTTTTTTGTTTTGTTGTTGTTTTTTTATTTTCTTTGCTTTACACCATACACTTACACACACACAGATAACCCAGCGCAAGGAGATGCATGAGAAGGAGAAGAATGCGCCCCATCCACTTGGTGGAATGATGGGAGGAGGAAATAATTGCCTCAACAACGAGGAGTTGATGCACAAGATAGACCAAGCCAGGGCATCCTATCGCGAAGAGCTTCATCGTCAGGTGAGCGATCAATGAGAAGAGAAAGACCATCCTCCTTTTCTTCTTCTGTTTCTTCGTTTTGTTTTCTTAAAAAAAAAAAAAAAAAAAAAAAAACACTCGCTGCCCCTTTTATTCTGGGGGGCGTCAGTCCAGTTGCTTATGACCGACAAGCATGGGGCCATCCTCCTTTTGTTCTTTTCTTTCTTTTCCGTCTTTTTTTTTTTTGGTTTTAAAGGGGGGGCAAGAAAGGGGTCTTCTGGGGAGGATATGGCCTATACCTTGGATGCTGGCAAAAATTAATTTGGCCATAGTGTAATGAACCCAATCTGGCAGATACTCATCAGACGTCAAAGCACAAGTGGTTTCAGATCTGCACAAAGTCTCCAGTTATCGTGAAGTGATATCTGAAACAGTATCTCATTACCATTAGACGAAGAGAGTGGAGGGGGAATAGACAGAGGAGAAGGTGGAAGAGAGAAACAATGATCACACAAGAGTAATCCAATCAAACCCCACTTCTTCTCCGGGCTTCTTTCCTCTCCACGTCATCAACCAGTATACGATAGCGAGTATGATAATCCTGATCACACAGCAGTGCCACGTGGCACTCTTATCTTGTGAAGACCATGAAGACAACAGCAGAATACGGTAATGACGTCAACCTCAGGTGAGTACCAGATCTCAATCATCCACAGATCTCGATCTCCCTCCTTGTTGCAACCAGTCACCTCATGTAGACAGCGTGGCCAATGCCACGTCAGTTGTAGAGACAGGTGGCATGCGCCACATCATTAATGTAGACCAGTGGCATGCGCCACATCAGTAATGTAGACCAGTGGCATGCGCCACATCAGCAATGTAGACCAGTGGCATGCGCCACATCAGCAATGTAGGCAAGTGGAATGTGCCACATCAGCAGGGTAGACAGGTGGCAGCGCCACATCGGCAATGCCTGGCGCACAGAACAGAAAGCGCCAGCATGCTGCCACAGCCCCACGTCGTCGTCCACAGTGCTTGCACACAGCCAACATCTTGCCAGCGCCGTGCCAGCGTTAATGCCAGCGTCCAGTCAAAGTCGAGCCAGCGTCCAAGCATCATAGCAAGACTGAATGTTGACCACCTTGAGACCAGCCCTTTTGTAGTGTTTGACGAGGCTGTCTGGCCTCGGGTCCCCTTCCACAGTCGTACAGATTGACTCACAGCCGAGGGCCTGGATTGTGTACAGTTGCAGATTTCCCCTTGTTCCTGATGCTGTCTGGGTACCTGCATACAAACAAGTGTGTGTGTCTGACCGGCGACCTGGGATGGGTCCACTTTGGACTTTGACTGTTGGGTCCCGACAGTGGACTTTAGTAAACTGTTCCGTGCTCAGGCCCTGAATCTGTAGCTGGGGTCTTTTCCCCCTTTTCGGCCTGGGCCTGGGTGTGGCCTGGCGAGGCCCTCAGACTTTCTATGAGGCATACTTTATGGGTTTATTGCAATAGGCTCATAGACTCCCAATGAATTTGATTATATTACTAATTGTTTAAAGTATTATAGAAAGTAATATTTAAAAGTATTATAGAGCAGTGCTGAAAACCCGGTAGGACCGGGGGTTCCTCCCCCAACCGGAACCGAACCGGTCCTACCGGCCGGTCGACCGGGCCGGTTCCCCCCCGGTTGGCTGT